AAAATAAAATAAATACATAAATAAATTGAACAGAAATACAATTATTTACCCATATTCAGCTGAGATTTCACATTTAATTGGCTCTAAGTAAATCAATGATAATTCAACATATGTTAAATAGTTTAAATGCTGTGAAATTGCTTAAATTATGTTTTCATTGTTGTACAAGCTCAAGCATGACTATAACATAATATATATACATATATCAAAATGCTCTGATAAGTAACTGTTATTATGCCATCAATCTGACGACATGTCTCTTCCTCCCATATCAGATAAGACACAAAATGCACAAATTTCCATAAAATGTATGTAAATGTTTATATATTTTGTTGTCGATGTGCGCTGTTGCCAATTAAATAAATGTTTGTATAAAATATAAAATAAAATAAGAAATTATTTATTTCGACTGCGCATATAAGTAGATAATTTCTTTGTTGCATGGTGGATATTTTATTTTCATATCATTTTTATTGTCTATAAAATTTTCTCGCCATTTATTTAACGTGTGTCTGGGCACATGCACACATACACATGCACAGGCTCGTGCACACAAACGAAGACAGCTCGCTGGCTGGAATACTCGTACATGGGCCAATGTGAAAGATAAATGCGTTTTCACTTTATGACTTTCGTGTCGGCATAAATTTGTTAATACCTTTAGGCCAAATTTATAACATAATAAATGCTCATAATATTTAACTTAACATTTTGCCAGGCCGGGCCGGGCCGGGCTGCTCAGGCAAGGCCCAGACTCAAACCGCCCCAATAAAATGCGAAAGTTACTTAACATTGTCCATTGGCAGCCGGTCGAATGGAGAGTGGAGTAGCTGATAAAATCTCTCCAGCTCTTGTGCTCTTCTGATTGTGCATAATGCAGTCGAGAATGCGTGTGTGTGCATGTGTGCATGTGTGTGTGTGAGTGTGTCTGTGTGCACATAAAATTGAGTTATTGCACTTGAGGCAAATTAAACTTCATAAATATTTAAAATCAGAGATTAACACGGCAGAATAGCAAAGCCTACAAAACGAGAGACAGAGAGAGGTAGAGAGAATGATAGCGAGAGAGAGAGAGAGAGAGAACTGTTAAAGCGCAAACACATTCCATGTGCTGTTGGCGACTTTTGTGGTTGGCCAATTAAAGTTGCATTACAATGGCATAACTGCAATTTAAGTGGCAGACAACTGAAAGGCTGCCAGTCAGCATATGCCGAGTGCAGCGTGCGGCATGCGGCATGCAACATGCAGCTCAACTGACAACCGCTTGAACGTCGCTTGGCGGCAGCACAGCAGCAAACGTTCAATTTAAAGTAACGATCTCTGCGCCCAAGAAACAGATACAACAACAAGTAAAGCTACAGCAACTGCAACTGCAACTGCAAGCCACGGGCTTGCCAACAGGCAACCGCTAAGAGCCAAGAGCTGAGAGCCAAGAGCTAAGAGCTAAGAGCCAGCAGCCATTGGCCATAAAAATGAAATGTATTTTTTTGCTGTTGTGTTTTGTTTGGGTTTCTTGTTGCCAGCCTACGTCAAAATGTTGCTGATCGTTGCTGAAAAATTTATATTTATGTTTTTGACAACGACAAAAAAGCAACAAAAACTAAAGACATCAAAAAACAAATGATCTTTGTTGCAAATTTTGCGAAATGATTTTTCAATTTAATATGGCTGTTGAAATGTTTATAAACGAGCCAAATGAGGCAATTGAACCCACACTCGCTGACTTGGTTATTCAATGCATTTGAATACCCTGCATAACTAGAGTATAGGCTATTTCAGTGTTATAGCTTTAAGTTAACTTTCTTGCTTTGTCATTGCATCTGAATATGTGGAATTTAGCATTCAATGTCCATTGAAACTTGACTAATTTATTATTTCACTTGTGTTCAACAGGCACAAACGGTCTGAGGAGACGCGGCCGACAGACATACACCCGCTACCAGACGCTCGAGCTGGAGAAGGAGTTCCACACGAATCACTATCTGACCCGCAGACGGAGAATCGAGATGGCGCACGCGCTGTGTTTGACAGAGCGACAAATTAAGATCTGGTTCCAGAATCGACGAATGAAGTTGAAAAAGGAGATCCAGGCGATCAAGGAACTCAACGAGCAGGAGAAGCAAGCGCAGGCGCAAAAGGCAGCGGCAGCAGCGGCCGCGGCGGCGGCTGTGCAGGGCGGCCATTTAGATCAGAACTAGAACGAATTCAACTTGCTGCATCCCATCCAGTGCAACAATATTGTAACAAATAAACCATTTACTTAACTTAAATTAATTCGATAATTCAATAATCATATTGATATTGTATGGTATATATAAAGCAACTATTTCAAATTGTTTGAAAAGCAACCGAAAATACGTAAAGCAGCAAACGGCAACAAAAATTACAAATCAATTTCGTAGACTCTAAGTAAATGAAAAACAAAACAAAAGGAAAATAAAAATAAAAACATAAACAAAAAACTAAAAAATACAAATTGAATATAAAAGTAGTTGAAAGAACACAAGAAATCTACTTACCTAGATACATACATACGTAACTTTATGCATACGAATACAAAATACAAATTTAATTTAAATTCCACAAAGAGTGTTAGAAGTAAAATAAAACTTAAATTTGAAAATTGTTTGCCCGCGTAAGATTTATGTTTTAAACGAGCAACAAATTTATTTTTCAAAAATTCTGTTCACATGTTGTCCCTGTTCCACACAAAACAAATATGAAGAAAAAGAGAAAACAAAAACAAATTAAAAAAAAAAAATCCCCTTTGTTGCTTACTGCTATGTTTAAATTATATTATTTCATTCGAATAAAAAAGTGTTTCGAAAATCAAAATAAATACTCAAAATGTTAAAGGGTAATTATTAAATTCTGTTGATATGAATTTTTGTAAGGCGCGTTTTTAAACCAATTGAAATTCAACACTAAAAAAGTAAATAATTAAAAAAAAAGTAAAAAAAAAATACTTAAAACAAAACTATTGAAAATTTAACTTAAATATAAATAGAATTTGTTAGCAAA